TGGCAGCGAGGACAGCAGTGATGAGGCCGAGGCCGAGGCCGAGGGCCCGGGCGGGGGTTCCCGCGACGACGCCAGCTCCACCTACGTGTAGCTGGGCTCCCTGCGTCCCTCGCTGGCCCACCCTGAGGTCGGCTGGGCTGCTCGCCCGCCCCCACTGCACCATGCACAATAAAGCGACGATTTCCAAGCTCGGCTGCGCCAAAGTCGATGGGCGGCCGGGGCGCGCAGGGTCCCCCTGGAGCTGCCACCGGTGGGAGGTGACGGCGCGGCCCATATGCTGGGACGTCCTCGGCCCCTGCCTGCCGGGCGAGGCCGCTTCCCGTAAACCACCTGCTGTGCCTGCCAGCCAAGGGGCTTCCCAGGCCGGTGCCAGCTGGTGGCCCAGTTCCTCTCCTGGTCTAACCGCGCTGGAGGGGGGGCACCCTGCGCTGTGGATCCCCCCTCCCGACACGACATGCAGATTCTTGGCCTTGGGGAAACTGAGGAGCCGCCCTCAGGAACTCATTTTGGAGAGCGAGGTCCCTGGGGACCTTCCAGGGGGTCACAGCCAGTGTTTCGGTGAGGTTCGGTGCAGAAAGCAAGCACCGTGCTCTGAGGCACTTGGCCCTGGCGTCTGGGCTGTGACCTGTGGCTCCGAGCAGAGGCTTGCCTGGGGTGACAGGAGCTGGGAGCGGGCAGCAGGCCCAGGCCGTGGGCCAGCATGGCAGGTGGGGCCGGTCGGCTACAATCAGAGGCCGAGGGGAACCAGAGCCACGGAGTAAGGGACAGAGCCCCCTCTACTGGCCTCCCCAGGGGAGGACCGCCGGCAGGACTTCCTCTCTGACGGCCACCACACACTGTCTCTCTGGATCGTCAGTGTTTCTCCTAATGAAAAGTCATCACGAATCTCTTTGCAAATGTCTTCTCAAGGGCACTCGAGTGCTCTTGTCTGAACAATTCCCATCAAGACTCCGAGCCGTACAGCTGCCACACGCCCCACGCTGTCTCCCTTTGCCCACTGTTCCTTGAGAAAAGAAGCGCCGGGTTTCGTGTGAGGTTCCCCAGCGCCTCCCCCCAGCCCCTCCGCTAGTCGCCAGGGGCCCCCCGGCCGGCGGCATGTGCGGGAGGCGCCTTGAGGGAGAGGAGTGGCTGGACCCCGCAGGGCCGGTCCCTCCCGCCGCCCCTCCGCGACGCCCGCCCGCACCCAGGAGCTGGCGCGAGGGGCCTGGGGCACCGTCGTCCAGAGCACGTGACTTCCTCGGCTGCACCTGCAGCCCCCTCCCCCCGCCCCC